GCAAAACGTCGACTGCCTGTATTGCTCTTTATCACGCGGAATCCGTGTTTTAAGGGTAAAATCAATAACTATCCATGCGATTCTTATCGTATAGAAAAACTTACCTGTCTGTTTCTGAATTGTTGTTGCTGCTGCTGCTGCTGCTGGTGATGAAAGAGAGCGACCTGTTGTTGAGCAGTCATCTGATTGTTCAGATAAACCAAGTGTTCAGCACCAGGTGCACCGCTCTGCGAAACAAACATAAAAGATTTGTACAAGCTCTACAGTATTGCGTAAAATAATACAATCGTTTGGGAACTATTACTTACTTTTAATTGCATTGGGTGTATCTCGTATGGTACATTACTCAAATGTACATTGTTCATAGTTAATCCCAATTGCTGAGATTGACTTTGTTGAGGTACACCAAGCTTAGTCATTGAATATTTCCACTTTTCTTGATTCTGCAAAAACAAATCACATCGGTTGTATAACTGGTTGAATTATCAGTGCATCAATCTACGTTTCTTTTTCTATTTATTACACATAAAGAAGAGCGTAAGATGCGCACATAAATTACAATTGAATCATTATTAAACAGACGTATTTCATCGTCTTGGCATCTTTAGATAAATGCTAAATTTGAAACAAAAGAGAACATGCATTTGAGGTGCCAAGTACTAGTTGTCTGTTAAGCGAAAGATCCGAATTCGATTCTCGGATTTGCCACCTCTTGCAAATCAGAATGAAGCTTTCACATCTTGCAGGCTTTGTTTCTATCGAAGTGGAATATGTACCCAAACTTGTTCCAAATATATAACGTTAATAATTTTGAGAAAACTTTTATAGCAAATTCGGCAGGTTGTACCAGTGCGCACCGAGTGCGCACTAAGATTTATTACAGTCAATTCTTATATTTAAGGATTGTCTTCGATACTGTTTGAAATAATTCTTAGCCAGTAAAGTGATCTGTGTAGCATTCGTACGGATCATTTTTTTTTTGGCTAAACAGTTTTTGGACATGTACTTGAAATGACCATAAATATAAGAGTAGATTCTAAACAAGCCTTGGCGTGCACTCAGTACGTACTAGTGCAAGTTTTTGCACATGTATGTGAAATGACCATAAATATAAGAGTTGACTCTGAACAAGCCTTGGCGTGCACCCAGTGCGTACTAGTGCAAGCTGCCGAATTGGCTATTAGTGTCACATATTCGGAATGTAATCAAAGTCCAGGAGGTATTTCCCCGTTCTAATAGAAACAAAGTCTGCGAAATATAAATTTTTAGTCTCAAAACTAACAAGACAACTAGAAATAAACAAATCACGATACTGCATTGCCTCTCGGAGAACAAAACTCAAAATACCAACAAGAATAATGAACCATTTAAAAAAAAAGCCTCTTTAACATAGAGACTGAGCAAGAGGCTTGCAATTTCTACCCATAAAAGTTGCACTTGCGATGAAACCAGTCTGAAAGTTTTAGATCACTCAAGACCGGCGCGGTGAAACGGGTGTGCATTTAGACTTCGACGCTACAGTGAAGGATATCAGTCAACACACAAATATACACTTTGTCGTACATACATTATCAACGATAACCTCCGCCAATGCCCAAGCTCTCGGAGCTTGCTTTGCTTGAAAAGCTGAAGAGTGGGTGTTAAATTCTGGCTCTGTAGGTCGTTGAAACACGTAACCAACCATAGCATCGTCCTGCGTCCTACTCACTCCCATCTGGTGTGTCTGACCAGGTTGTATTCGCATATTATCGCCACCAGCCATAACTTGCCCGCACTGTTCCGTATCCTAATAATACATGTCGGTGATTAGTAACGTCGCGGGGCATAATCGCGAAACGTGAATCACTTAAAGATACGACAGCACTTTTTCGTACAACATATAACCGCAGTGTCCGCGACAGTGAACCTTGGTCACGCTTGTGCTCTTACGCGTAACTTGTTAACTTTAACATGTAAAATGGAACGCTACGTCCAACGGATTCCAACAAAAGCCACGGCAAACGTCACCGCGACCCCAGTTACATTCATACCCACGTTTTCCCTTTCGTCCCAGCCGAATCGGTTCGGTTGACTCGCTCGGGC